TAGAATAGCTTGACTCCCTCTTCTTTGTGGCAGCCCCTGAGATATTGGAACACTGCTATCATGTCCCCCCCCGTCCTTCTCTTCGTTAAACTAGACATACCCAATTCCAGCAACCGTTCCTTATATGTTTTAGCCTCCAGTCCCCTAATCATCTTTGTTGCTCTTCTCTGTACTCTTTCTAGAGTCTCAACATCTTTTTTACATCGTGGTTTTGGTTTCCTCTTTGGACTACCTCAGAGGACTGACACATCATTTCAAGTAGCCTTACTTATAGTATTAGCAAATTATAGATCAGAAATATTTCATAATAAAACACAATCAGAAAATTATAGATCAGAAATATTTCATAATAAAACAATCTACTAATTTTTTAAAACACATTTGCTATCAATCGATGCCTTTCAAAACATTGTCATTAAAATGTTTTGTATGCAAATGTTATTGTTAGCACATGTATATATCTCATTGCATTATTTTAAAATTCAGCACAATTTACAACACAATAATGAAAATGCAGAAACATAAATAAATTAAAACCATAAAAGAGCATTCATTACAAAGGTTGATGGCAGAAAGAGATTAGAAGTAAAAGAGAACTATAGCAAGCAATATTTGCAGAGGGAAGGAGTGATGAAGAGACAATCCTCAATAGGTGGCTGAAATATATAGCAGTAGGTGCCTCATGAATGTATCTACTGATTTGCTTTATATTCTGCTTTTTGTTCAGGGTGAAGTATACAATATTCCTCCTAATTTTCCCCACAGGCGCTGCCACAAAGAAGGCTTGCTGGTCAGGACCCACAAAATGGCTTCCAATTCTTCAAGACATCTCCAAGGAGTTTGAACTATCAGTAATGGCAATGGTCTGTCAGATACCCTCTCAAGGTGTTCTAGTTCAGTGGCCAACTGGCAACCTAGTCAATAGGGTTCTAATACATGTACAGTCTTTGCTCAGTATCCTTGCTGCTGATTCCTGATGATCATTCCAGCAAGTTCATATTGATGTTAATATACCATGGAGAACAAAACAATGGTTTGTGGCTAGACTAAAGTATGCTAACTAACCCTAGTACTCTCCCTTCACATGTCAAAGAAACCAGAGAAGTTCAAGCAGGATCAACAGAGCTATATTCCCTTTGTCAGATTATAAAATAGTGAAAGTATTGCTTATTCTGGATTCTCAAACCAGGCCTGAACTCAAGACAGAAAAACCACACATGAATCCATGGAGGTGTCTACAGGAATGAGTTTGCTTTCTTAAGGTTGGCAGTATCATTCCAACATGGAAGTATCCATGGACATCTATGATTTGCTCTATCAACTCTTTACAGTTCACCTACATAATCAAAGGGAGCTAAAAATCCAGAGAATATGTGGAAAACCCGACAGCTAGAAGCATTTTGTCCATAAATCCTAGACTCTGCTGTATGGACCTTTGAGAATGTAACAAAAGCCACAAAGCAGATATGATTATATGCATTAATTCATGTTTAATCAGCTCCATAGCAAATTTACACTAGTTGTATTCTTGCCACCTTCCAGTCTAATTCATTATTGAGAGGTCCCCAGAAATCCAAGCAGCTCAGATTCCACAGTAATGGAGAAACATTTGAGGGTGACTGTACAAAGATACATAGATATTTCCTATTCCTAACGTGAATAAGGGTCTTGAAAGAAGCATTGGCTTTGTTTTCTGAAAATTTTCCCAAATTTTTACAAACCCATCAAATTCCTTAGGTTTTGATAGGAGACAACCTTAAGTGATCAATAGGTGATAGAAAAGCAATGGTGATCTGGGAGAAACTTTTCCAGTCTTTGGCCATGAGAACTATAATTCCCCTTCCAAAGTAACCCCTTCATGACTTGAGGCAAAACTAAATCAGAGGTATGCTTCTATTACTGAATCTGATGACAAGTCAAGGTAGATTCATGACTGCCATACTATATGCCTCCCTAAGGTAGCCTCAGCATGAATGCTGAAGTCCACCAGGATCAATCCCAGGATTGTTCTGGGACCAACAGCACACCTGAAAAAAGTTTCAGCAAATTTGGTCAGAGAAATGGTCGGGCAGCAGGATAGGCCCACTGACTTGCTGTTCGAGCATTAAGTAAAGTCTTCATGTCTTGATCCTTCAGATTTCTGATGAGCAAGGTGGAATTCCTATTGACCAGAGCAGTTGTACCATCAGTTCAAGTTGGTGCTGTGTACTGCAAAACCAGATGGTCAATGCTAGTTTTTAAGAAATTTTAAAGGACAAGCTATTTACATATTATTCTAATACCTCTTCCTTGGGCTCTTCCTCCTCAGTTTCTGTAGACACAGATGGTAACTTAGGTTTATGCCATGATATCTGAAGTCGTCGGTCTTTAAACTTTAATCCTTGATTGGCAGCCTAAGGTGGAATATTTAAGAAAAAAGAACAAAACAATATTTTATATACTAGGATAAATCAGTGGCTATACAGCATGTCAGAAAGATCTCCATTAACTCTAGTGATTGATCAGAACTCTGCACTGCTTAATAATCACTTTTCATATCTGCAAATCTAAGTTATTTTCTGATAATTTAAGTTAAATATTAATAACTGGCTGAATTATAATCTATTATCAGTTTAAACACAGTGACAGGGTTTAAACATTTAATGCCTGAAAATAGTTCATTTGAAGCTAGTATGTATTTGCGGATACTTTTAATTACAGAGTATGTTTGCTTTAAAAAACTGGATATGGAGTAGTAGAACATTCTTTAAAAATTGAAAGCATATTACATACGTTTTCAGCTTCAGAGCGGGATTTAAATGTCAAAACAACACTTAAAGGAGATTCTTCCTCTTGAAGACCTTCAATATCTCCAAATTGCTGAAACACAAAAGACTGAGATTTACTTTCTTTCATTGCTAAAAAAAACTGATGACCAATGAATTATTAATTATTAAAGTATACATAGGCAATCTGGTGCCTTCTAAATGTTTTGGACCTTAATTCCTAATCACTGGTTCAACTTAACATGGTCAATGGGAGATGTAGACCAAGACATTTAGAAAACACTTGGCTTTGCTACAAGAATTCCAGAAAGGCCTCTGATCTTTCTCAATAACATTCATGTTCTGGGACAACAATCTTATTTCTTAGCATTTTAGGAACCACATTAGTCCCCAAATATATAGGAAAAGTATACAAATTGCTCATAAACTTATGCCAGATGACAGCATGAGAAGTCTGGGCTTTTCAAAAACATCATAATTTTGGTTACAAATCTGATCCTATGTGTATTTTATTTTAAAAGAATTTCTGTGATGTTTAATGAAGCACATTCTTCATCAGGTATACATAAGGTTTTAGTCAGTGTTTCTAAATTGTAGACTCTTTGAAACGCAAATTAGCAAATCAATACTTATTTATATAATTGACATATTTATTTTACATTTAGAAATGCCTTTTAACTATGTTCTTGTTTTAGATAAACTTCAAGTATAATTATATTAGCAGTGAAAGAGAAAGTGATGGTTCAGGCAGCCAGAAAATTTGCTATTTGTTTGTAGCTCATGAAAATCATGAAAATCACTAAATTATCTGTAAAGAAAGGGCCAACTCAGTGGCAATTGGTTGGAATTAACCTCCAGCATCAAAGCAAATTGATGTTGATTGTAAGGCACATTCACTTGAGTGTAAAGCCAGTGAAAATTAGATTAATTCCATAACTAACAAACATTGACAAGATTGTCCAATTACAGTTCCATTAAAGGATATTAAAAATATACTGGACAGTATGTGATTTCAGCACTCAGAAATCTTTAAAAAAGAATGCTAAAGAAATATAGAGGATAATGTGTAGAACAGCTACCTTCTCTAAGAGTTATCCAAATGTTTGTAGCATGTGATGCAATTTCATTGCAGCTAGATGGCTGAACAGATTAAGTACTAAAACAATGACTGCAGCTGTAAAAATGAAGCCAGTTCACTTTTAGGACACTCATGCCTTTATATTATTCTAGAACACTGCACAGACATGGAAGTATACTTAGTTTTAGTTACAAATTGCTAACTTACTGCGAAATGTTGCAACACTTCATCTTTCTCTTCTTCCACAAAGCCACCAATCGTTAGTGCTTTGGGGCGGTGGTCCACTACCATGTGATTCACAATACCCCTTCCTCTCCCTCCACGACCTCGTCCTCTTCCTCTAGTTTGAGCTGACACTGCTTTCCCCCGACCAACAGGTAAGATACCTAAACGAGCCGCCTGGGCAAAAGGAATATACGTCAATTCTTTGTGGATACTGTGTATACCTAACACCAGAATCAACATGGCAGTCTCCTCTACAAACTTACCTCCACCTGTAATTGGCTAAGTTTTTTTCTCAGTTCAGTTGTATCTTCCCCAGAAGACAATCTTTTATGTAAGTCCAATTCTGCATCTAAGAGTTCTTTTTGTGCCTTTGAAAGGAGAGAAGATGTAGCAGAGAATTCATTTATTTTCTTCTAAATCTTTACATATTATCCCTTAGGTTTCAATTTCCCAATATTCTAGGGAAAACATAATGGTAAGTTATATCTTTGGGGGTTTGGGGAGAATCCAAAATGTGGGATAGCAAAAGCTAAATAAATAATTCTATGTTAAGAGATATAACCAAAAGAATGGTTATAATACTGATAGCTAGGGCAAACAATTCTGATTCAGACCACATAAAATGCCTTGGGCAATCGGTGGTCTTAGAAAAAAAAATCTGAAGATTCCAGCTTTGACTGAACAATGAGAAGAAATATGAAAGATGTATAACAAAATTAAAACATTGAAAGAAGTAGCAAACTTTTATAAATGCCGAAATTCATGTAATAGTTTGTATGCAAAGGCTACTTCTTAGCCCATAGGCATTGAATCAACAGCAGATTTTAAAACATAAAGATTTTAAAACAATTGTATAACTTACTTCAGTTTTAGACTTTAGCTTTGATGTAGAAACAACGGATGAGGTTTTTAATTCATCTTTCAACTGTGAAATTTTTCCTGTTAGCTCTTTCAGAGTCTTCATAATCTCTGCTCTTTCCTCTGGTTTCGTGGTTTTATTCTTTTCCAATTTTGATATTAGCATCTATAAAAGTCAAAATAAAAATACCATGCTATTCTGAAAGGGCTTTGCACACAATCCATGTTTACAAGTTATGTACAGAACAAAAACTTGGAAGTTAATTAAGATCCAATATGCAGGAGATTGAAATAGAATTAGGCACTTGGGCAGACCATAATCCTTTAAGAATGACGTGGAAAGGAATAAAAAACAACAACCCTAAGATGGACCTTGAACCAATCCATATTAAAGAGAAAGAATGTATAGAATTAGCAACAAAAGAAATGGAAATTTTAAAAAAGAAAATAAAAAAGAAGATACAACATTACAAAATGTATGGGATACAGCCAAAGCATACTTTAGAAGTATAGCTATAACATACAGTAGTGGCCAAAATTGTGGAAACCTTTTGGGAAAAGTGTACAGTAGAAATGCCACCTTTGGTTAAGTTTCCACCAATTTTTCTTCTAATTTCTTTATAACTGTAGCCTTGTTCACTTAATAATACTATTTTACATCGCTTTCTGGCAACCAGTCAACTCTTTGCACCATTACTTTAATTTTATTACGTTTTACAAGCTCACTAAATGAAACTTGAAAGAACACAAAAAAACCCCAACCAACTTGATAGTGATCACATAACACACTGACAAATGTCCTCCTCTCAGCTTCAATACATGACATCAATAACTGAACCCTACTGTGATCAGATTGGCTCATTGCCAAAACAAGATGACACCTGATTGGTTCTCTAAACACTCATGCTCATTGGCTACAATCAGATAAAGGAAAGCTACCTGATATCAACCTAAGCAAGTTGTGCTTCCTTTTTCTGGTACTACTCCAAAAAAAGTAGTGTTATTAGCCATCAAACCTCAAAAATACACTTTTCCCAAAAGGTTTCCACAATTTTGGCCATTAATGTACATGGCGAAAAAAAAACAAAGAAAAAAGACAACAACATATACTGTTAAGGGAAGAATTTAGAAAACTAGAATTAGAATTACAAATAAATCGACAAAAGAAAATACTGAAAAGACAAATGGAAATAATAAAACATAAATTAAATAGAATCAGAAAAATTGGCACAGCAAATTAAAAGAGCAAGACAAAACTTTTTTTAAAAATGCAAATAAAACAGTAAGTTGGCTAGCTTACAAACTTAAAAAACAGAAGGAGAAAAAATTAATAAACAACTTAGTAGATGAAAAAGGCTGTTTACAATTTAGAAATGAAGAAATAAAAAGATAATTAAAGAAACTGTATGATATAGAAGAAATTTCCTGGGAGAAAGTGATTCAATATATGGGAAAAAAATTAACAAAAAATTCAGAAAACTTTAAAACTATGTTAAATGAGAAAATAACAATGATGGAACTGACGGAGGCTATAAGACGATAAAAAAACAAAAAAAACACCCAGATGGGCTCCCGGCAGAGTTGTACAAATGTCTACAAGATACATTAAGTGTTCCATTGAAAGATGTGTATCTACTTTTATTAGAGGCTAAACTCCCAAACACATGGAAAGAAGCAAATATTACTTTCATACCAAGAGAGGACTCAGACCTGACACAGATAAAAAATTACAGACCGATTTCATTACTAAATGTGGATTATAAAATCTTTACTTCAACAATAGCGGAGAGACTGAAAAGATTTCTAACGGAATTTATACATCCAGATCAAAATGGATTTCTACCAAAGAGACAAATAAAAAAATAATTTAAGAGTTATAATGGACATATTGGAATATTATGAAATGCATCCAGGGAAACAATTGGCATTAGTATTTCTAGATGCTCAAAAGGCATTTGATAATGTTTCCTGGCAATTTATGACTCAACAACTAAAAACAATGGACTTTGGACAAAATTTTATAAATATGATTACAACAATATATCACAAACAAACAGCAAAAGTGATTGTAAATGGAGATTATACAGAGAATTTCAACATAAGAAAAGGCACAAGACAAGATGTCCACTATCTCCATTGTTATTTATTTTAACTTTGGAAGTTCTAAATAGAAATATTAGACAAGACCCAGAAATTAAAGGACTAGAAATAAAAGGTGAAACTTTTAAATTGCAAGTATTTGCAGATGACTTGGTTTTCATCCTAGAGGAACTTTTAGAGATGATTCCTAAATTATTGGAAAAGATAGAACAGTTTGGAGAGATAGGAGGACTGAAGATAAACAGAGAAAAAACTAAAATGATAGTTAAAAATCTTACAGATAAACAACAACAAAAAAACCACAAATATCAGAAAAAATAGAATTACAAATAGTCAAAAAGGTTAGATGTTTGGGAATATACCTGACAGCAAGATAAAGGAAGATAACTATATAAAACTACTGAATCAAATAAAACTTGACTTGGAAAAATGGAAAAACTTGCAACTGTCGATGTTAGGAAGAATTGCTACGGTGAAAATGAATATATTACCAAAAATATTGTTTCTATTTCAAACGATATCTACAAAACTGGAGAAAAAAAAATCTTTGAAGACTTAAATTCTCTAATTTTAAAATTTGTTTGGCAAGGAAAGAAAGCTAGAATTAAATTGAAAATGTTACAAGAAACTGAGGAAAATGGAGATTTTGGCTTGCCAGAGTGGGTTTTATATTATCAAGCATCAGTGCTAATATGGGTAGAAGAATGAATAATTCTTAGAAACAAAAGGTTGTTGTATTTGGAGTGACATGACTTACAACTTGGTTGGCACGCTTTCTTATGGTATGGGAAAAATAAAATTCATAGATATTTTCAAAACCACTATATTAGAAATGCATTATTACAAATATGGGAAAATAAAATGTAAAATATATTTGAAAATTCCAGGATGGCTTTCAACAATGGAAGCATTTGTACATCCAAATTTAGTCAGTCTTGAGAAAATATGGACATATAAAGATATTCTAAACTCGAAGAGAAATTAAAATATAAACAAGAGATGGAAAATCAGGGTATTGATCTATCATGGTGGGCATATTTACAAATGCAACTGAGATATGACCAAGATGTTAAACTCTAGGGATTTTATAAAGAGCAGACCTTGTTTGATCAGATATTATTAATCTTGGATGAGAAACTAATTAAGAAAATATATAACTTTTTATTGAATTTGAAAGTGGAAAATGAACAAGTAAAAGAAACAATGATAACATGGGCAAAATTTTTTGGATACAATATAGATCTAGAGAAATGGCAAAACTTATGGGGAAGAAATTATAAATTGACAATGTCAACTTCTTACAAAGAAAACTTATATAAAATGTTTTATAGATGGCACTAGCCACAAGCAAGACTAGCAAAAATGTTTAAAAATATGTAAGATAGATGTTGGAAATGTAATCACAAGTCAGATACTTATTATCATGTATGGTGGACATGTATTAAAGCTAAGAGATATTGGACAAAAATACATAGTTGGCTAGAAAAGATGTTGGGAAAACATGTAGATTTTAAACCTGAACTTTTTAAATTAGGTATAATGCTAGAAAAGCTTGATACACAAAGTATATACTTGATTTTGCATGTGATAACAGCAGCAAGAATCATATTTGCACAACATTGGAAAAATGAAGAAACAGTATATACAAACTTGGGACTTATTTTATCAATGGCTGGAGAAAAGAATAAGGGATTAGGAATTCAATTTGTATTAGTGAATGATATACTCAGAAAACACATTTGTTGAATAAATACTACTGAATTGTATTAAAAAATCAATAAAAACTTTAAAAAAAACCTTGGAAGTTAAGCAATTTAATCGTACCTTTTGACATTCTATTTGTTTCTCCAACATTTCCTGCTGTTTCTTTCTCATGTCTTGTTGCAATTTCATTGTCTCCTATCAAGAAAAATGGTTTACCTTAATTACTATATAGTAAAGAAATGTAAATCATGATTTTAGATGATCCAAAGCAATATCATTTGGATTATGCTATTTTCTTCTGCAGCATTATAATTCCATGGAAAACAGTAATTATTTTTCATCACTTCTAGTCTATGGGTTTGGCTTCAGATAATTCAAATCCAGATTGGGATTCATGCCTTGTGGAAAGCTGCTACTATTGCCCTTCATTATACATACCAATAAAGAATATCTATAAATGGCTTCAGGTTTATATTCAAATCACACTGTAGTAAGCTCAATGTGGCAAACAGTGGTTTAGTTGTCCCTCACTTTCCTACAACTGCAATCCTTCTACACTGAATCAATGTGGTATCTTTTTTTTTTTTTTACTCTACTAAGATTGAAACCCAAGCTGCTGAGAAGAAGGAACTGTAGTAGACTTTACAATGTTTGGATAAGAGAAAATTCAAGATAATGAGCATGACTATAAAACCAGAGATTATATTCAGTCATAATTCTCCCAACCAAAGAGTAAACCTGAAAGAATGATCTGAATTTTTCAAGAAATAATTCTTCATGTAGTTGATGCAAATCCTATTTTATTCAGAGATTACAGCTATTAAATACATTGCAATGATATGTGTTTACCTGTTTCTTTTTAAGAACTTCTTGGACATCATGAGATTTATTTCCTGTAGCAGACTTATTTCCTGTCTTCAAATTGGAGGAACTGTAAACCATCTTTGTATGTGTTGTTGAAGAAGGAAACAACTGAAAGCAGCAATTTATAATAACACATTAATGGTGCCATTAAACTTTGTGCAACTATTTATTTATGGTAATAATTTTAAAAGATCAAATCAAACATTCTCAGATGGTATTTTGCCAATTATGTAAGGGTAAAATTTAAATTATCTATTGGTGCCACTACAATACCAGTGCTGACAATTGCAAACTTACATTGCATATCCAAATTTGACCAAAAGTAATAGTTAAAAAAAAAAAAAGCTAAAGTTTTTAAGAAACAGAAGATAAACTTGTGGTTATAGTAAAACTATTCATTCTAATTTAGGTAAGCTATTCCTCCATTTAGAGATGGTATGAATTACCAGAACATCCTAAAATTTAATAATTGTAAACAAATATACTATACAAATCTTTTTCGACCTAGCGTTTTCCTGCAAGTGCAGAGTCCATTTTTTCAAATTAACCAATGCCATTTCATGTGATCAAATGCAGCAAGTGGGTGCAACCAGATAACTTTCATGTCCGCATTATGTTCTGCCATCTTTGCTTTGGTTTTCTACACAGACATTTCCCATCAATGTTAAAGTTATTTTAAAGTTGTGAACAGTGCAGGTGACAATATGGGTGTTGCTTGTAGAATGTGGCACAAACACTGTAGGCAGTTTCCCCTCATTTTCTATTATTGGTGCAATGTTCATCTGCTGCCGGGCTTATCATTGCTGCTGTGGTGAAAAAGGGAAATGCCTAATGACCAATGGAGCATGGACTCAGCACTATACAGCACTACTGGAGGACCATCAATTTACATACTATCGATTTTAGGTGAATTGGCCTAAGACAGACATGTCAAACACAAGGCCCGGGGGCCGGATGCGGCCCACGAAGTGGTTTCATGTGGCCCGTGAAGCCATCCTGGAAACAGTGAGGGAACGGCCCCTGCTGCCTTGGCCCTGGCCCAGGCTGGCTGGGAGCCAATGTACAATTTTGTGGTGGCCATCTAAGCTGAAATGCATTCAGTCTTAGCTCCACAAGGCCGTCTGGAACCAGCGAGGAAACAGCCCCTGCCGTGTCGGCCCCACCCCCTGGGTGCATGCTGGGGAGGTGTCACCCTTTATTAGGAATGAAGAAATGCACCATCGCCTGGAAGTGGCCAGCAAATGGCCCTCGCCTACTTCACATATCTGACTTGATGGGCTCTGCCCTGGTCCCACCCCTTTCTGCCAGAGACCCTCAGATCTGTCCTATTCCTGCCCAGGACCCCACAGGCACCCTTGATGCGAATGATGTAGAGCTGGCTATGCCCACACAGTAGGCCACACCCACTCCATCCACGCCCACCCAGTAGGCCGCCCTCACCCGGCCCCCCGAGGGCAACCGCAATGCTGATGTGGCCCTCAATGAAATTGAGTTTGACACCCCTGGCCTAAGACTATTGCAAAGCACTGCAGTGATCTTCCTCGGCAGCCACGTTGCACTCACCCTCACATACTCTACCTCATTAATGCCACTGTCACTAAGTAATGTAAGGCATTTTGTTACTAGGTCTTTGCTGCTGACCTGGATAGTGGAGGTGCTCTAGATATTTGGTCATCCTTATACTGAGATGCAAACCGAATTGGTTAAGATGATCATTCCCTATTTGGACACAGTGCTGCAGTTCTCTTTCCTAGCAGTAGATGTGAGCAGGACGTTGTCAACATACAGCAAGGCCCAGGGGCACTGTGCTGTAGGTTTTGCATGAATGTATCCACGACGAGAATGAACATCAATGGCAATAATGCTTAGCATTGGTGCACATCAACATTCACAGGAAAGCTGTCAGAAAGGCTGGCAGTGAATGATACTTGGCTGCTGCTGTTAAAATAAAGCTGAGGCAGAACATGGTCAAAAGCTTTTCTAAGCCAAGGAAAGCTAGGTGTAATGGTTTCTTCTTTTCTCTATGCTGAAGAATGCAAGCTGTACAAATAGTGTTGGTGGTGCTCAAACCTTTGATAAAACTACAGTGGTTAATACCGATTTCAATGATGTCATGGAGGGGCTGGTTGAGGATCTGCTCAAAAATTTTCATTATGTGTAAGAGGAAGTGGATTGGTTGGTAGTTGGAGCAGTCTGCTGGCTCATCTTTGTTCTTGAAGAGGGTAACTATGTGGCCCAGTCACCATACATATGGCTAGAGTCCAAAATGGCACTGAAAAAGTTTGTCAGTCAGTCAATTGCTGTGCTGAAAGGTTCTAAATTCCAGACGTCCGATGATGACAGATAGTCTGGGCCAGGGGCTTTCAAATTCTTCATGTTGCTGACAGCTTTGGCAATCTCTTAAGATGTAACGTGCAACGCTAACATTAAACAAGCCATCAGAAGTCGGTGGGTGTGGAAATTCAATGCTAGAGATTTCATTCAAAGTGCTGCTATGAGTGTTCCCAGATTTTGAGTTTATCTTAATGTTGTCACCCACCTTTGTCTTCAAACCATGGGCCGTGTTCAATGTTCATATTACATGCCCTGGCATGCATTTTTGCTAGTCAGTAGATGGGATTTTTTGCTTTCCTTTGTGTCCCTATTAATCCCAACAGGGATTGGCTATGGCTTCTATGATAGTTTTCTTTGCCATTCTTCTTGCAATGACAAGACTTTTGCCAGTTTTCATTGGTCTTCCGCACATACCAGTTCTGTAAATCACCTTCTTTTTCATACTTTCTGCTGCATCTGCTTGTTGGTTCGATGACAACTTAGTCTCATAGTGCCAAGGTATATTCTTGAAAAAATGGTAATGGGCTTGTGGAGAGCAGTACATGTGGCATCAGTTGAGTCTGTGGTGATTGGAGGAAATGTGATGTGATTAACAATGGCCACTTTGTAGTCTTGTAGCTTCCACCACTTGATTTTCTCTGGATTTGTCCTGCTGCTGTCACGCTCTGAATGCTTGCTGATCTTCTTATTGGCAATAAGTCTCTTATGTTGCGGGGCAAGGCAATCTGATGAAATATCTTTTATATCCATAATAGTGGGCAAGTCATATCGTTGCCCAAGGACAAAATTTGGTTGCATTACTATTGCATTGTATAATTATACAATTATACACTGTACATATATACATATTCATTATTCACAAAACGTACATGCATTGTAAGTAATTGTAGATGTTAACATGTCAATTCTTTTACTGTAAGTGTCCACTAAATGGAAAAATGCTTTGTTTTTAACTTGGGGAAAAACAGTCCAATGGATCAAATTCAAAATGCTTTGAGTATTCATTCCATTTCAGCAGATTAAGAATTAAAAAAAAATTCAGATATTTGAATTATAGAGAACAAGAGGAATTTGAAACAAGTTCATGTTCTCTGTTTGTGTCCGACATTAACAAAAGTTGGAAGAGGGATCATCTATCAAACTTTTTTCAGTACAATAGCCACACTGTTTAGGAGGAATCGACAACCAATTGCATTTACTTCACCAAAGCTCAGTGATGACATCAAAATAAATAATAAAAAAAATAATCTTAGACATTCTCTTTTTATTACAAGCTTGAGAGAGGCTTCTTCATCTAGCCCAGTGGTTCTCAACCTTTTTAATGCCGCGACCCCAACCGGTCGTAAGTCGAGGACTAAACCGGTCATAAGTCGAGGACTAAACCAGTTGTAAGTTGAGGACTAAACCGGTCGTAAGTCGAGGACTACCCAACCGGTCGTAAGTCAAGGACTTTCCCTGCCCGGGAGCGCCACGCATGCGTGGTTCCGCCCCCTGCGCCGGCCGAGGCGTAGCTGGCAAGCGGCAGAGACGGAGCAGGCCGACCACCAGCTGGCCCAGCCCAAGGGAGGTAAGGCACCTGCCGGAAAAGGGGGAAAAAATGGCGGACAAAAAAAATGGCAGACAAAAAAAATGGCGGACAGCCTTGCTTGGCGACCCCCGTGAAATGGTCGATCGACCCCAAATGGGGTCCCGACCCACAGGTTGAGAACCACTGATCTAGCCAAAAGACCACACAAGCACGACATGGCAATGTACTGTATTTTGCAAACCACCTTCAAAAGAAAGTTTTGGTATTAGCCAATGTTAAACTGCCAAAGCTCAATATACAAAATCAGTATACAAGTCAATTTTAACTAAAAACAAATACAAAAATGAAACCACAGGATTTAGCACATTTGGACACTAGAAATTATATTGTTCAAGACAGCCCTTTGTTTCAAGCTTGGAACAAAACTCTTGAAACCAAGACGCAACATATAGTAAAAAAAAAAACCTCTCTGAAAGCAGAAAACAATGTGATAACCAACGTAACACAGAAACTATGGAAAAGCAAGCAAAAAACAAAAATTTTGACATAGTTTGGAGAATATATAAATATATTCATAATTTTAATTTGTACAAAATCTTAAAACACCTATATTCTATTTTCCATTAAAACTGTACCAGTAGAGGCAATATATTAGGAAATAAATATTAAAAATAAAAATAAAATTTTCATTTAAAAGATTCTTTAAATCTCTTTCATTATGTCAGTTTTTCAATCAATTGCTCATTCTTTTTAAAACATTACTGCTTATAATTAATATATTACATATCTGCATTTGTAGTATTTTGTTCTGAGAGCAGAATGTCTTCCGTATCCATTTCTCTTACCTGAACATCCTCTGTAGTAGCATTGGACTGGCTAAGTAATACATGTTGAGAATCTGGCTGATTTCCACTGGTTGCTCCAAGTCGATGTTTAACTGGAACCTTGTTAAAGACATAGGCACCTGCAGCTAATGGTTTAACCACCTGCATGAATGCACATTAAACAGAAAAATGTTAGCATGTATTCATCTTTTTGAACCGTCATAGATTCCAAAGATCAGAATTTGGGAAGAGCAAAGAACTGAAGTTGTGGTAGAACACTATACCTTTGGCATACTGCTGTGCACTGTTACAGGTGGGGGCTGTGTCAGAACCTGTTGCTGCACATGCAGTTGATGAAGAGGTGATGGTGTCAGTGCCGGCTGCTGCTGCTGTTGCTGCTGCAGCTGTGGTGGATGTGGATGTGGATGTGGCTGTGGCTGCTGCTGCTGTTGCAAGGGCTGCTGCTCACTGCTTTCCCGGTGCCACAATACTCGTATAAACCGATTGTTCAACACTGCCTCTGTGCTAGAAATAGCTTTTCTGGCTTCATCGTTTATTGAATACTGAATTAGAGCAGCTTCAGGATCATTCTTAAAGGCAACCTAAGGAACAAAAATTCAAAATGTTTGTCTGCAAAGTCTAATCGCACGGTAACAAAACGTCTAAGGTATAATTACTAGTTGCAATTTACTTCAGAGCTATCATTTCTGGTAAGATACTTTTACAAAATTCTTTGCAACAGTATTTAAGCACTGGCTGCCCACACTTTCATCCACACGGAAGGACAGGGATTCTACATTGATGCCATTTATATATAATGCCATAAGGTGGCATATTAAGAATGTGCTACTCTTAATTTTTGCAGCACTTAAGTAATATTAAGTGAAGAATGTGCAGTTTTCCTAAACACTAACAAATTAATTTTTCATATATAAGCTGGAAATTAATTTAATTATCTCACCATAGGACATGTTACAGAAAAAAGTACTGATCCATTCTTAACATAAGATTGCCCATTTCATTGCATAATATAGAACAGTGATGGCAAACCTTTTATAGACTGAGTGCCCAAACTGCAACCCAAAACCCACTTATGCATCGTCGAGTGCCAGGTGGGTGTGGCCCATTGGCTGGGCGTGGCTGTGTTGGTACTAAAAAGTTCAATCAATTCCAACTTTGCAAGATCTTTTTTTTTCCCGCGAGAAGTTGAAATTGGCTGATTGAACTTTTTTTTTTTTTTTTGTACATGGCGGCGGAGGCCTAAAGCAAAAAGGTTTTATAAAACCCAGCTAAAGGCCTAGGACTGGGACAATAGCGCGCGTGCCCACAGAGAGGGCTCTGAGTGCCGCCTCTGGCACCCGTGCCATAGGTTCGCCACCACTGATATAGAAGGAATAGTATAACAGACCATCACTGATCAAAGTCTTTCCCCCGGTGTTTGAGAAATGGGAAGCATATCATTTCCTAAGGCACTTTGTTTCCTTATCCTACAGTCTGTTACTGCTGCAAAATTTCTCCATATACTTTCCTCACTCTAATCTCTGTGTAATTTTAAACCAACCAGCTCTTACTGTATACAAATGTACATAAGGAAATGTTTAATTTTACCTGAATGTTGATAATTGTCCCAAATTTGCTGAAATGTTCATTCAACTGAGTAATATTGTTCAGTTCTGGTGGTATTTTACGAACTTCCAATTTAGTATTAGTATACTGGCTCTTCTTCAGGAACCCTGGCTTATTTTGGTTATTAGTTTGTCTGAAGAAAAAAAAAGAAAATAAGGCTTCACGTGTTCTTTTAAAAATTAATTTATGCAAAAGAGCAATCTTTTATTTTTAAAGCCTCTTAATATAAGAATTAAAATAATGCCAAAAGCATTCACGGAGCAATTCTAATACGCTGGTGAGAAAACTGCAGGCAGAGGATTTGCCATGTTCAGAGTCTACATCTAGCAGAATATAGCTGAATTATCCATACCTCTACTTGGCACACTCACTAAAAAACCCTCTTATTTTAAAATGTTTTTATTTATTTGAATGATTTATAAAGCTGCTCATCACATAGCAGTTTGTTATGCTATATTTAAAACCATAAGAGCCAACATAGTGTAATGGTGAAGGTGCTGGCCCGGAAACCAAGAGACAGTGAGTTCTAGTCCTGCTGTAGGCATGAAAGACGGCTGGCGAGACTTGGCCCCAAGACCCCTCACAGGTGATGGTGGTGGTTATTATGGGGCAAATAGGAGAAAGGAGGAATATTACACATTCGCCACCTTTTGTTATTTATAAAAATAATAAAGATGGGATAAAAATGAAATAGACAGCAATATATAACCCAATGTACCCTGGTTTAAACATTAATTTAATTAAGCTAAAATGTTCATAACAATTCCTGATTTTCAGGTCCCATAGTTCTTTAATGTAATATGTCTGATTTTGATTCAATTACGTAATTAATTAGCAACACATGTCCTTACTTTCCAATCCACGGTTTCTTTGGAGATGGCCCTTCCATAGTGTTTGAAATTCTCTTCCTGTTGTCTGGCTCAAGCACCACCCTGGATACGTTACTGCTGTTGCTTGCAATTCCAATTGGAGGCTCGGTCTGTATGATAATATTAGCAGCTAGAAGAAAAGATCAATATACCTGAAGCACATCACTGTTGCCATACATTTCTTCTGTAGGAATTAACACAAATAATGCGAATATAGTATTGAAACTGTTCAGACCCTCCACAACATAATTGGTTTTTTTAAAAAAATGGGCAAAATTGGAAATCTTTCTGCTGTAGATACCATTCTCCCTCTCTGAAATTTAATTCAAGTGAAAATTCAACAATGGAAAATTGCCTAACAATTCCAAGAGACACTGCATATAAGTAACAATAGTAAAATTTGCACGGAATGCCTCTGCAAATAATTATTGCTTGTTCATTTAATTTACTAAAGCAAAGATTGACAAATTGGTCAATTTCTTTTTTTTTCTTTTTGAGTTTATTTTCCTGATCTTACCAACAATCTGTTTCCTGATCAGCTTATGCATTTGGCAATAAGTCTACATAAACATTTATGACCACAAGAGATGTAGTTTATATATCTTTTTCTATGACACGTTGTTCTTCTTTCATTTTATCATTTTCTACTTTTAGAGATGCGAGCTGCTCAGAATCTGGGAGTCAGGTAGCTTCTAAATATCTAATCTATCAGTCAGTCAGTCAATCCCTGTTCTTCCTTCATTTGTCTTTGGTGCTTTTGAATAATTTATTTCATATCCTTGTTTTTGTTTTGAATTACTCCACCAAACTCTAGAGAGTGGATTTCAGCCAACGAACACATTCTAATTTACATGTTTAGGAGCTACAAATTGAATAAATTCATATAAATATATGAATTGAATAAATATGTTATATCTTGTAGAATGTACAAACAGCATTAAAGACAAGGTTAAAGAGAAAAAACACTCTGTACTGCACACCACTTATTCAGTCCATATGTTGGTACCAACATATTTTTGAAATAACTACACGTTTATAATGTTTTCTTAGAATGTTTGGCATAATCCAGGAAACAAGAATCACAAACTTCAATAAAATGTTTTAATGCAAAAATTAGGGATAAAATAAAATAAAATAAAAAAAAACCTTGGGAACTGTGATTGAACCTCTAGTCCTCATTTGTTGAGTTCATTAACATAGACTGAATATTTTAATCTCTCCTTCCCAGACATTTCGCCGTCTGCACTGAGATACCATTTATTTATTTATTTATTTATTTATTTAATTTAATTTATATGCCGCCCTTCTCCCTGCGGGACTCAGGGCGGCGCACAACATATTTAAAACAAAAGCATATATACAATCCCCCCCTATAAAACCGAATTAAACCAAATTTTAAAGTTGTGTCTTCCAAATTCCTAAAAATGAACCCAATATAAAATCCTCCCTAGGTCAGGTCCGCTTGCTGAAAGAGCCATGTCTTGAGGGCGCGACAGAAGGTAAGGAGATCCGGGATCATCCGAATCTCGGGGGGTAGTTCATTCCAGAGGGTAGGGGCACCCACAGAGAAGGCCCTCCCCCTGGGGGTCGCCAGCCGACATTGCTTGGCCGACGGCACCCTGAGGAGACCCACTCTGTGGGAGCGTACCGGTCTGTGGGAGGGAATCTGCGGCAGAAGGCGGTCTCGGAGGTAA